AACAGAAACACAAACACACAGACACACACAGACGCACACACACACACACACACACGCTTTTGCGTCGGCGGCTTGGCAAAGGGTGACTGCTCCGGCGAAGGGACATCAGGGGGCGCACTGGATGCAAATTCAGGCCGCGAAGCACGTGGGAAGAGGAGGAGACCCCGGAACGACGGGAAGAGGGGAAGCCGGGCCCGCTCAGGCAAGTCACCGGTTGCGGGGGAAACTGTGGGGGGGAACCGGCTGCGGTGCCGGGCAGCAGCTGGGCCCGGGGGGGACAGCAGCCGGCGGCGGCCGGGCAGAGCCAGGTGGGGGAGCAGCACACGCGATGCGGTGACCACACCCAATGGGGGAGCAGGCAGAGCAGGCGGCCCCCCTCCTCCTCCTCGTCATCCTCCGCCTCCTCCCCCTCCTCCTCCTCCTCCTCCTCCTCTCCTCCTCCTCCTCCTCCTCCTCCTCCTCCTCCTCCTCCTCCTCCTCCTCCTCCTCCTCCTCCTCCTCCTCCTCCTCCTCCTCCTCCTCCTCCCCCCTCCTTCCCCCCTCGTGCCCCGACCTGGGGGGCCTACGGGCGGAGCGCAGGCTGCCGCGAGGGCGCTGCACTAGCGCGGCAGCCGTGGGCCAGCGTGAGGGTGTGGGGCGAAGGACGAAGAGGCGGAGCCACGCCATCAGGGGGAGCGGCGTGGAGCAGGGGGTGCCAGCAGGCCGGCGGGCGAGCGGGCCCGAGGGCGGGCCGGAGCGCCGAGACCTGGGGGGGCCTACGAGGTGCGGCGGGAGGCCAAAGGCCGGAGAGCCGGCAGGCGAAGTGCGCCGCACTGGGCGCGGCAAGCGCCGGCCAGCGCGTAGGCGGTGAACGATGGCGAAGAGAAAGCCACGCCAACGAGGGGTGGCGGCGTAAGCTGGGAGCACCAGCAGGGCGGGAGGGCGCCGAGACCAGAGGGCTTACGAGGCGCGGGGGCGGGAGGGCAGTGCAAGGCGCCACGGAATTGTGGCAGCGACCCGCCCACCAGTGGACCGGCGGATGGCCAAGAGGCCGGCCTGAAAACCAGGCAGGCAAGCGGGGACCCGGGCCAGAGGCAGCCGGGGTCGCCTGGACGGTGGCCAGGACGGAGAGCGCCAGGACAAGCAGTCCTGCGGCGCGGAAAAGGGGGGGGGCGGCCAAGGTACAAGCCAGGAGCGCCTGCGCGGAAAGGGCGGCCCACCGGTGCAGGGGGAGCGGCCCGCCAGTGCGGAATGGAGCGGCCCACCAGTGCGGAGGGGGAGCGGCCCGCCGGCGAGGCGAGAAGGGAGGCGCCTGGCGGAGGGGGACGGCCCGCCTGTGCTCTGTGCGCCTGTGCGGGGGGTGTCGGCCCACCGTTGCGGAAGCGGGAGCGGCCCGCCAGCAGAAGGGGGAGCGGCCCACTTGCGCGGAAGGGGGAGTGGCCCTCCGGCCAGGCGCGGATGGGGGAGCGGCCCACCTGCGAGGCGCAGAAGGGGGAGCGGCCAGGGTACCCAAGGAGAGGTACCGCATTGGAGCAGCAAGCGAACAGGCCCACGGGCAGAACTGCCGAGGGGACCGCGTGCTCGCCTGAAAACCAGGCAAAAGGGGGGGGGCACCGAATAGGTGTAAGGACGGTTAAGGAGCCCTCCCTGCAGCCAGGGGCGCGCTCCGTAGCAGAAGCGCCTTGGCGCACGGAGGGCCAGCTGCGGCCTCTCGGTGCAGCCGCAAGAGAATCAGGGAGGCGACGAGGCCAGGAGGTGGAGGAAGCTGCGAAAGGCGGCGGCGTGTCGGCCAGGGCGTCTGATGCCCTCACCGCGCTGAAAGCAATAACTGGCCCAGGCCGCATCGGGTTCGCCGCCTGCTCGCTGTATGTTCTTGATTGTGGCGGCTAGGGCCCCATTGGCATTGATGGGGGTCGTGGCAGAAGGCACCTAGGACAGGGGCGGCATGCTCCCCGCCCTGGGGGGTGCTGGTAATCCTCGGTGCTCGAGCTGCCAGCGTTCGTCGCCGCATGGGCAGGGGGGTGAGGCGAAGCCGCCAGGCGCCGCCCAGTCTAGGCAGCGGCGCGCGATCCACCTGCGTGGGACGGTGCAGTGGAATACCGATTTCCAGCCGCGGCGACGAGGGATGCTTGTGGTGTCCGCGGTGGTGCCCCTTCGTTCTACAACTCTTACGTGGCGACGAGGACCCTCTCCCTGTGGCGGCAACCCTAGTGCCACCGCACACCCTGGCCGAGGCGTCATCGAACAAGAGTCGGACAGCACGCGCGCCCTTCCTGGGCCCAGCGAGACCCCAGGGGGAGAGGGCCAGGTCGACTGCTGGGTCCGTTCTGGTATGGGGGGGTCCTGGCACAGGATTTGTTTGTCCGCCGTGGGGCAACTCTGCCTCATGTCGATGCGGGCAGCCGTGGTTGGGGGGTCGTTGGCGGCCCCCGTACTCAACCCCTGCTCCTCGTCTCCTCCGCCAGGGAGGCTCGTGGCCGTGTGGTTGTTGGTGGTCTTCGCCCCAAACTTTTTCTGCTTCCTGTCACCGGGGGTCCCCAGCCCTCTTCTGTAGATTTTTCTTCCCGACGGGGGGGCAATTCAGCGAGGACGTCGTAGGCCGGGAGGAGGAAAGCTCTCGGCAAGGGGCGCAGCGGCGTGGAGAGGACCCCGTTGGGAAGAAATGCCAAAGTCCGCCCCGCAAGTGGGTCTCCGCCCATCTCCGTCGTAATGCGCCACTGAGTGCGCCGGGGTGTCCACGTCGTCCTTCGCACCACCGTGCGTGTCAGTGGGGTTCAGACCAGAGTGGGGGAGACACCGAATAAATGTAGTGTCGGAAATTGCTGGCGCCCTCCCCGCGGCCTGGGGCACATCTGGAGGACGCGCCCAGGCGCACGGAGGGCGTGCTGACACCTGAGCGGGAGCAGACTGGGGGGTGGACAGTGAATAGGTGTATGGACGCGGAGTAACGGCGGCGCCCTCCCCACGTCCTGGGGCGCATCCAATGAAGAAAGCACCCGGGCGGACGGAGGGCGTGCTGACACCTGAGCTGGGGGGTGTGGTGGCGGTCCCCGCTGCCAAACTTCCTGTTTGTCATCTCCATTGGGGGTGCGGCACGTGGTGGCCACAGCCTGTCGGAGCGAGTCAGGCACCCCAGGAGACTTCTCGGCGACGCGCGCACTCGGGGGGGCAACTCAGCGAGGCCGTCGTCGGGCGGGACGAGTCAGGCGCCCCAGGACTGTTCTGTTCTCGGCAAGGGGCGCAGCGGCGAGAAGGGGACCCTCCTTGGTGTGGCTGCGGGGGGGGGTCCGAGCGTCACCTCCCACGCGGTGGCTGCCGCCGGGGCGCCTGCACCCTCCGTCTCGCCAGGCCGAAAGGTCTCCTGTACGCCCCTCGGGGCTCGGGGGTTGCACCCCAGTCTGGCGGCTGGGGGGAGTGGCAGCGTCAGCGCTGTCGCCTGGCACTCTGGAGGCCGTCATTTTCGAGAGGGGGACTAAAGGCACCATTCGTTTTCTGCTCCGTCTCCACAAGGGGGGCGGCGGTCCGACGGTCTGCGCCCTTGGGCTGCCTGCAGGGAATGGGGGGACGCCGAACAGGTGCAATGTCAGAGAATGATGGAGCCCTCCCTGTAGCCAAGGGCGCACTCCGTAGCGGAAGCGCCCCGGCGCACGGAGGGCCAGCTGCCGCCTGAGAGGGAGGCTCACGAGGGCACAATGGGTCGTGCCCAGGATCACAAGACGCCGCCATTCTCTGTTTGCCGTCTCCTCCGCGGGGGGGGGGGGGGGGGCACGCGGTGGCCACAGCCTGTCGGGGCGAGCCGGGCACCCCGGAACAGCTCTCGGCGACGTGCGCAGTGGTGGTGGGGGGGCGGTGACGATCCCCGTCTTCGACGTCGTGTGCTTCTCGTCCCCTCCGTCGGGCGGGCGGGGTGAGGAAGCAGGACCAGGACTGGAAGATGCAGGCGCCCCGGGGCTGTCGGCGAGGTGCGTAGCAGCGTGGGGGTTTTGTCCCTGGGATCACCGGGCGATGCTCTCACCCTGGACCTTAGTAGGGCCCCTGTGGTCCTTTTGATCCCCCCCAGCATCACAGGACGCCAGCACCTGTAAGCCGCCGCCACCCGCGGCGGCCGCAGGTTGGGTCTGGAACGACTCGCCAGACATGCCGTACGCCACGATCTGCGCCCAGTCTGCCACGGAGACGTGGGGGATCGTCGCGAGTCCGTTCGGGGTGTCTGCAACCTGGGAGATCGTCCCGACCCCCTCCAGGACGTCCGCGCTCCCGGCCCGCAGGAGGCGACGAGGAGCCCGGCGGCATGCTGGTGGTTTCGGGCGTGGTGTAGTCGATCGCCGTCAGCGCGCTCACCTCGTGTTTGATCTCTGTCTGGCGGGCGAAGTTCTCCGTGATGCCATCCGCAGTGATCAACAACAACAACAACAACAACAACAACAAACACAACAACAACAACAACAACAACAACAACAACAACAACAACAACAACAACAACAACAACCACAACAACAACAACAACAACAGCAACAACAACAACAGCAACAACAACAACAACCTTGGTGAGGGTGAGGCCCGCCGCGATACCCGGATCGAAGGTGACCCCAGCCTGGTCGTTGCAGTCGATTAGCACAGAAGAACAGCAGCAGGGGGAGGGGGGGAGGAGGAGGGGAGGAGGAGGAAGAGGAGGCAGCCATGGGCTGCGGTACACGTACGTGCGGCCGTGGGCCGCCATCACCACTCGAGCCACTGCGGCGGCTGGGCCAGCCGGGGCACTTCTGCCTCCAGAGCGTCGACATGCGGCTGGTGTCGCCGCGGTGCTCGCACAGGTAGCACTCCCGGTACTCGTCAACGATGTTCAGGCCGAAGATGTGGAAGCCACACACGGCCGCGTACCTGTTCCGGTGCACGGCACCGGGCCAGCATATGAGCCGCAGCCGGGCTGCAGCAGCGTCGTCAGCAGACCGAGCATGAGCCCGCGCGCCCGGGCCGCCGGCGCGGGGCGGCGGGCGGCCACTGAGGCAGCAGGGATTCTCGTATACGACACGTGGCCGGCGTCGGAGAGCACGAGGCCGCGGCCGTCGCGGCGCGCGCGGGCCTTGTTCGCAACGGAGTGCTGCTCAGCGCCCTCACGCCTGCTCTCAACGTGAAGCCTCGCAAGTGTGACTGCGTCAGTGGGCGGGTCTGTGCCGAGATCGAGGATCACAGACAGCGCATCGCCCGCATGCGCGTGGTCAAGGACGTCCACAGCTGGCGCTCCTCCGAAGACTGCCGCGAAGGGCTGATCCATCTGCGAACGCGCTCGGCGCACTGATGGAATGCGAAAGAATTGCTCCAACTGGTGCACCATGGCAGGACAGCGCATGCGCGGGCGCATGGCGAGAGAATGCGACGTGTCCTTCTGCGTGCAGCCGTGCATTCGCCATGCGGTCGAAAAGCACCGGGGCGGCGCCAAAAAACCAACTGCATACTTCTGCAGGATGCACAGCGCGGCCTGGAAAAGCATGCTCTTCTGCTTGAGGGTCTGCTGGGCAACGTTGACGGACGGGGCCAAGTCGGGCAAGTGCCACTTGCGGTCCACCAGGACCGGGAGCCGCGTGTGGGTCTCAAGCTCGAAAAGCACCGCTAGTTCGACGCAGCTGACCTGCCCGAAGCCAGGGTCGGGAGGCGAGTTGCACGGGGCCGGCCAGGCCAAGGTGCCCCACCACTTCAGCAGACGATCGTAAAATACCCGGCCGTGGGGGAGCTGCGCGTGCGTCAACCCAGCTGGCAGGGTAGCGTTCACGTTGGACCAGGAGAAAGTCCAGCCCCACACCATGGGATGCTGAGGTGGGAGGTCGTCCGTGGCATCGGTAGCAGGTGGCGGAGCCTCTGCTGCTTCCGCGGCCTCCGCTGCCTCACTCTGCTGGTCCAGCATGCGGTCCTACACGCCGAGGAGGAAAGTCAGCACCCGGCGCATTGCGGCAGCGCGGCACTCCACAGCAGCGCGGGCCTCATCCCGGCGAGGTTCATGATGCCGACGGCCACGATGAGCAGACCGGTCGGCAAGATCGTTCCCCACGCGGCAGTACTCCTCGAATGAGCTCTGCACCTCGGACGGGTCAACGTGGCCCTTCGCCTTCTGCACGACCACGGCGCGGCCGGGGCGCGCCCGGAGGGCTGCGTCAAACCGCTTACACAAGCCACCATTCGGACGGGTGGCATACGGCCAAGGAAGGCCACGGCCACCTGCAGAGATCAGGAGGATGGCCTCCGAGACGACGCTCTTGTTGTCAATGAAGACACGGAGGGGCTGTACGACATTCTCAACCAAGAGGACCAGGGGGAGAAGCTCCGCCCTCGTGATGGTCTGCACCAGGCCCGGCAGCGGGGTGGCGTACCGTCTCCATTGGGTTGCGCCAGACGGGCTTGCCTGTCGCCACACGACACCAGACCCAGCGACCCTCCAGCGGGGGTCATCTGTTGGGTCAGCCGAGCCATCCGAGAAGAAGTCCTGGAAGTCATACGTTTCGCCTCTGATTGGCAGCGTGGCCCACAGGGGCAGCGGCTGGACAGGCGTCCCTTCCAGATGTGTCCAAAAAGCCCGTTCGCCAGGGAGGAGCTGGGACAGGCCGAAAGTGACAAGCGGCAGGTCCGGCACAGCAGGCGCCAGCAGCTCCGGCACGGAGGACCGGAGGTCGTCGTGCAGGGAGATCTGATGTACCTGTGCTCTTCCGCGCCACACGAACAAAGAGAATCGCCCTCACGATTGGCCCGGGCGAAGTCAGCGTTGGTGTAGACCAGGCCCGTCAAGACCGCCATCGGGCGCCCGCGGGCCACGTCGCCCAGCTCCATGGGGTAGGCAAGCGTGGTGGCAACGTCGATGCGGCCGAGCGTGGTCAGCTGCTTCCGGGTGTGGGCCTTCAGGGAGCACCAGTCGATAGTAGACTCCTTGATCAGGATGAGCATGTTGGCCCGCACGGAGCCGTAGGGATCGATCAAGCGCCAATCCGATCGCAGGACCCAACCGGCCTCCGCCCAGACCTCTCGGAGGAGCTGTAACGGGAGGGTGGCCGGCAAGTCGACCCCTCCGCTGCGAGCCGCAAGAATGCGCGTCGCCCTGTCAGCGGCAGCCGGATCAGAACGAGAGAGAAAGGATCTCAAGCTCCGCACACGGCGCCGAAGAAAAGCCTCGAAGACAATCGTGGTGGCCCGGGAGCCCGCGAGGAGGCATGTCAAGTAATAATTGCATTTACAATACTTGCTACCTCGAGATTTAAGAACCTGGGCCGCAGAGGTGATCAAGTCGTGGAGGGTGGCGCTGCGAGACGCGTGAGAAGCCTCCGCACCCCGCGCGGCACCAGCAAGGGCGCCTGGAACGATCATGGCCACCTTGAGAGGCCAGGGTGCTGCAGAGCGAGCCAGACGGGAAAGAAATTCCCGCGCCGCTTGAGCCCTGTCCACGACCGTTGGGGCGCACCGGGAGCGGCCGTAGTTAAGGTGTGCTCCAAGTTCACGGGCGTGTGAAAGGTGCTGCACGACCGTCCCGTCTCGGGCAGTGTATCGGGCCGCGCGGCGGGCTCGGCGACGGGCAGGGCCCGGGCCTGCAGCCCACGTCCAACAAGCACTCGGTTTGAGACTCAGGTCCCAATGAGCGCAGAAATCCTCCAAGCAGGCAAAAGCAAGCGGAACCTCAGCCGCATCACGGCACAACCACTGCACATTATCTGCCCAACTCATGATAGAGGCTGAGAGATTGCGGGAGGTAGCCATCATGCGGAACACAAACGTCGCAATGATGGAGGCGAACACTGACAGGGCATCCCCCTGAGGGCACCCCGTGGTGGTGGACCTGGGCCGGCCCAAGCCTCCGCCGACCTGGAAAAACGAACCGTGCCGGACAAGTGCGCACTCCAAGCCTGCACGAAACTCACCGGGATGCCTAAGCACACGCAGGCGTGCGCGACGACCTCACGCGGGGGGCGGTCGGAGAACTTAACGACATCCGCGGTGGCTCCGGCAATGCCGACACCGTCGAGCCAGGCAGCCTCAATCTCAAAAGCGACTTCAAGATGACAATCCATGGGCTCCCGGCCCTTGAGGCCGCCCTTGATGCCAGCGGGCAGAGCGCCGTGGCCCAGGCCAGGAGACGGCGGTCGACCGCGCTGGACCAAGCTCGATAGTCGACGCTCAGGACAGCTATGGGCCGGAGATCGGCAGCAGTCAGAGCGGTTTCGTGCTTGGGGATCAGCGAGATGGCACAAAGTAGCAGCAGCTGGGGCCACTCACGCGCGCGGGCGAAGATCGCAAAGAGGTCAAGAAGAACCCTCACATAGCTGTCCGGGGGCCTGGACAGCTCGCGCGGCCGCCAGCCGCACGCCGAGATGGCAGTCCGAGGGGCCGCGCGCCGGCACGAATCGCGGAACTCGGCAACGGCGAGGGTGAGGTCCAAGCCCTCATGGGGGCCACACCTCGCCGCAATGAAATCCTTAGCCGCCGTCCAATCTTCAGCGCCGTTATGGCGACAGTGGATTGGATGCAAGTGGCTCCAGATCGTATGGTCGATTTGTGTCACTTCTGTCATCCAGTGGCCGTCGTCGCCCCGCAGCATGGTGGCTGCAGGGGACATGGGCGGACGGGTGGCCTGCCAGCGCAGCCGGGCGCTGTCTTTGGCGTCTGCGGCCAGAGCTGCCCAGTAGTCTCGGGACCGGCCAGCTTTGATCTGGCGCCAGAGAGCACCGAGGAAAGATTGCGAAGCAAGAATAAGAGCCTCCAGAAAATCGGAGGCATCCGCATCGCAGGGGAAGAGACTCGGCAATGGGTTGTCAGGTGAGCGGGCATCCCACCAAGCATGGAAGGACGCCCCAAAACCACCCGCAAGCCTGATTGACTGCCAAAGCTCCTGACGGGCGGGGTCCGCCAGCCGCAGGGCGGCGTTGATCGCGCGCCTGCGGATGTCCCGAGCAGAAGCCAGTCCGCGCAACTGTTTCACAACCAAACGGGTCTGAAGAGTGTTCGGCGAATCATTGGCGAAGGCGTCTCGGCCAAGGCGCGCGCGCTGCTCGTGCTGGCGCTGCTTCGCCACGCGCCTCGCGCAGCCGCGGCCGAGGCGACGCCTGGGCAGGGAATCGTCACCAAGGGCCTCGACCAGGCAAGACTCCGCGGCAACACTCCAAGAAGCAGAGGCCGAATCAACCGACACAGCAGCCACAACAGCGACTTCCTCATCAAAATCGGCCGGGGCCTCCGCAGGAGCGCTCGGGAGGTCCTCGGAGGGCGAGGGCAATGGCAACGCGATCGGCAATCGCCACCGCGGCAAGTGTGGCCGAAGACGAGCCCAATCGAAACTAATAATGAAGGGGATTGTGGCCAACCCAATCCAAAACCCGCGCGGCGGACAGCGCTCGCGCGGCCACAGGGTCGGCCCACGGCTGGTCGATCCGGGTGGCGGAGTCACCCTTCACGCGGGTCACCTCTGGCGAGGCCCCCGCCCGGGCGGCGAGGGCAGCAGCCGCGTCCACCCAGCCTCGGAGCCCGGCGAGAGAACGAGCAAAACTGTCCGCAGGCTCGACATTGAAGTCGCCTGCGATCACACGCGGGCCACCGTAGGTCTCAGCGGCCGCGAAAACAGCGTCAAGAAGCTGCTCCGTGTGTTTGTTTGACTGTGGGTCCCCATACACAGTCTGGACGAAAGCCGCCACATGCGGTGCGACACGGATAACACCGGCCGCGAGCCGACCGCAGGACGCGATACCCGGGGGGTAATCAGGTGAGATGCTGACCAGTGGGAGCTCGGGGGCAACCAGGCCGGCAAGGCTAAGTGAAACGTTCCGTCCTTGTTGGGAAACGCGTCTTTGGCCCGGATGGGCAAAGACGGCTCCGCCGCGATTGCGAGACCGCCACGAGCGTTCACGAGCGACAGAAGGAGCATCTAAATTGGTTTCTGAAACCATGACAAGTTGGCTCTGGCAAGCGGCGAGCATGGCACCACCTTGCGCAGAATTTAAACCATCAGGGTTGATGTCAGCAATATCAAAACTGTTTCCGTGAAGGGCATGGAATAACGACGCCCGACTCGGACAAGCAAAACCAAATGTGCACGGCCAGGAGCCCCGCCAACAGGTGCAAGTAGCGGGCCAGCCCCGGGAGGCGGAGCCGCCCGCCGCACCTTCAGCTCGTCCGCTGGGCCTTGGGCGCGTGCTCAACCTTGTTGTTCAACGCTCCCATCTGTGTGGTCATGCTTGTTTGAAACTCTCCGAAACTCTTCAGGAAAGTGTCCTGGAAGTTTTTCGTCGTTGTTTCATTCGACTTCTGGCTCTCGGCGATCCTCTCATCGATCTTCTGGCCCTGCGCCGCCAAGCGAGCATCAGTCTGGGCGCTCTGTGCGTCCAGACGTTTAGCCAGCTCGTCAAGACCGCTCGTAAGTGTGTCAAAACGAGCCTCCAGAGGCCCCAGGCCGGGAGAAGCAATGGGATTGCCGCCAGCGGAATTGCCCTGGGACCATGGGTCTCTTCCGTTAGCCCAGGGGTCAGACTGCGAACTCTCCAACACAGGACGGCGCGCGCCAGTATGGTCGCCCTTGCGGTCCTTAGGGGGCCAGGGGCGGACCGTGGCTCCGATGCCGACAAGAGGCATGGCGACCGCCGTTTTATCGGACGACCACTCTGGAGGATCATTCAAGGCCTCAACTCGGAAGCATCTGGTGCCGCCGCGAAGCCAGGTCCCCCGGGGAGGGAAACCAACCTTGATTTCCCAGCCGTCGGCATTGGGATCTGGGCCGACCCAATTGCCAGCCGCCATCTCGAGCTGTTGGCGGCTCGCGCCCGGGTCAAGGCCCTCGACAACCCAGGAGCTGCGACCGACGAATGACACATCAGCGGTCGCCGGAGTGTCAGGGTGAACAAAATTATATGCTGCTTCAAAATTGGTGGCGGGGACACGATACCCCAGGCCTTTGGAGGGCCGTGCCGCGCCAGCAAAACTTTTCAGGCGGGCCTGGTTGAGCGCAAAATCATGCCGACCTGGGCCGTCCGCGTCTGGTCCTGCTCCGACGGGGAGCCAGACGACACGGTGAGTCTGAAGCTCCCCAGGGGCAGTCAACCTATGAATGAAAATGCCTTTCTGCCCGCTGGCATTGGCAATGTGGTCGGCGCCCCCTGGGCGCGCACGCATGCGGAGTTTAACAACGCGACCGGTCTTTTGCTCGACATCTGATTGGACAGGCGCCCGCAAGAGATCAAGAATGCGATCCCGGGCTTCAGAAACTGGCACACAAGTATTAAGCAGAAAAGAAGAGGCTTGCGAGAGGCGGCCCCCCAAATGTCGGGAGACATGCGCGCCTGGTCATGCGCGGCTTGCAAAACGCATGAGTTATCTTTCTGCATTGTGATGCGGCCTTGCTGGGCGGCCATCGCTTCGACAGGGCGACTGCCGAGCTGGAACAATGTGGCGCGCGCGCGGAAGACATCAGCAGCGCCCTTTGCCTTAAGAAGAACGCGCCACCGTGTCCCCCCAGGCGCATCGCCAAGAACAAGGTAAGTCAACGGATCGGGCGACAGACAGCCATTGGCCCGGGACTGGGCCAACCACTGGCTCAGGCCGTCCCGGGTCCCTAGAAAGACCCCCGACACGCGGACCTCCATAGCGGCGATCGTTGGAACGCTGCAGCCGGGGTCGACCAGCTCGACCTTAGAGGTGTCAATAGAAGCGTCGGGATCAGGCTTGCTGTTGCTGCTGCTGGCATGCGCCCGCTGATTACTGGCAGCAGGCTGTGAGGCGCTAGCAGTATTTTCTTCAGCCGGCGCCCAGTGGCCTGGCGCTCCTTCAGCTCGGCTGATAGGGCCAGGCGGTGATTGCGGCTCTTGGCTAGTGCTAGTAAAGCAGACCATGGATCGGCCGATGGCCACGGCACCCTTACCGAGGACACGAAAGGTTTCCTCAGCACGCATGGTGACCTTGTCATTTGGCACGCCCTTGGTGGCAAGAAGCTCACTGAGAGCGACGTTGCATGAGGGAGAATGCAAGCAAGGCGCGCAGCAGACAAGGGGATCGACGACTGCCGAACCGACCCCGACCGATCAGATCGCAATGACCAGTGAGCACCTTAGGCTGCGACCCCCCGACGAACTGGCCCGCGTGCTCTGCGAGGGTGCCATCCGCAGTGATGCCAGCGGGATCTCAGAAGCCGAAAGGGTCCTGCATGCGCAGCTCCCTCTCGACCGCGCGCGGCGGAGAGCTTTTGTGTGGGGGGGCGCCCACGTGGCACGCGCGGAGCCAGTATAGCCGTCGTGGAAGAGCGTTCCGAAGATCGCCGTCGAGGCCAGACGGCAGTCGGAGATTTCAGCCGCCGACTTTTTCTGCTTGTCCCCGGCGTTGTTGGACATCAGCACCTTGGAGCCGATGTCGCTCCCCGCGGCAGGGGTGCCAGCAGACTTGTCCTAGGACAGCTCCTGGGCACCGTTCATCTGTGCCCAGCCCGCCGCGAGAACCTTGGAGGTAGCGCCAGGGCCGTTCGGGATGTCCGTGAACTCGCAGTCGGCGGGCGGCGACAGGTACCCTGGCAGCATGCCGGTGACCTCTGGGCTGTGGTTCATCGTCGTCACTCTCGTCAGCATGATCATGCGGCCGTGCCCTTCGACGAACTGATGCGCGTGTTCTGCGAGGGTACCATCCGAAGTGAGGCCAGCGGGATCCCAGAAGCCGAACGGGCCCTGCGCGCCCAGATCACTCTCGACCGTGCTCCGAGGAGAGTCCGTGTGGAACGCCCAATGGGCCCGCGCGGGGCCAGGCAAGCCGCCCCAGAAGCCCACGGGGTTCTGCGTGCCCAGCTCGTCGTCGCACGTGTGCGTCGGGGATCTGGTGTAGACGGCGCGGTCACCACGCGCGGAACAGGTCGAGCCGCCATGGATGAGCACGCCAAGGATCGCGATCGTGGCCCGGCGACCGGTGGCGATCAGGACCGCCAGCTACTTCTGCTTCTCGTCAGCGCTGCTGGACGTTATCACCTCGAAGCCGAAGTCGCCCGTCGCGGCAGCGTGGGGACTGGTCTCGGGGCAGCTCGCAGAGTGCGAAGTGCGCCACCATCTGCGCCCAGCCCGCGGTGAGGACCTTGGAGGTAGCGCCAAGGCCGTTCGGCGTGTGCGCGTACTTGCAGTCGGCGGGCGATGACAGGTGCCCTGGCAGCATGTCGGTCGTGTCTGAGGTGTCCTCCTCCTCCTCCTCCTCCTCCTCCTCCTCGGCCTCCTTTGCGGCCCCGCCCAGTCGCTTTTCGCGCTGGTACCGCTGGCTCTGCTAGTGGAGCTTGTGCCGCGGCGCTCCGCGCGCCTCCGCCGGGCGACGCGGCTACTGGCGGCTGCTGCTGCGTCTCCTCAGGGGCTCTATACACTGTCACCCGTGGCAGGTTGTTCACTCGGTCTTTCCATCGCCACGTTCGGCGGCATCGCTGACATGTGATGAGGCCCTCCTCTCCGATGGTCTTACTGGTCTTGCGGTTCCAGTGGTGTTCGCGTCGGCCGATGTTGCACCTGGCATTCAGCTCCTCCTCCAACCGGTCCATCCTGGAGGCGGCCTGGTTGTAGCCCTCCTTGGTCAGCCACCTTTCGAGGGGTAGCGCCGCCTGCTCGCACTGGCGCCCCGTGATCTTCGAGCGCACGCGCGGCAGCCTCTCGACGAACTAGCCACACTTGCAGCACCACGCGCCTTGGGCATCTTGCGCGGTGCGAGCGCACGGCCGCTTTCCATGCTTAGGGCTCTCGGCCCGCCCTGCGGGCCATCCGCTCAGCGGGCACCTTCGTGGTATCTCTGGGTGTGCTGGGTCCAGATGTCGACGAACATGCTCTGCAAGGCGATCACCCGCGGGACTGCGAGCGGCGACGACTGCGGGATGACTGCGGCGTAGAGCACGCGCATGGGCGCCGGCATGATGTCCGTCGGGAGCACCTTGAGGGCCTCGCGCCGCCGGCCAGCATATTCGCCACAGTGCCACGCGACGTGCATGACATCCTCCTCTGCCAGCGGGATCCCAGAAGCCAGCCTTGTCCAGCGCGCCCAGCTCGACCTCGGGAGGCATGCCGCCGGAGGCGCCGGCGGCCCGGGCGACAGAAGAGGCCGGCCCGGCCGCGGCCGCTGCGGCCGCCGCGGGGACCGCGGCGCAGGCGCCAGCCGCAGTGGCCACCGCAGCAGCAGCCGCGCGGGCAGCGGCCGCGGAGAGGGCAGCAGCTGCGGCCACCACGCCGGCGGCGCCGGCAGCCGAGCCGGCAGCCGCCGCGGCCGCGGCGTCGGCCGCCGCGCGAGCGGCCGCAGCGGTGGGCGAGACGGCGGCTGCAGCCCCCTCAAAAGCGTCAGCGGCCTGGCCCGCGCCAGCCGCGCCGGCAGCCGCCCGAGCGGCCGCCGCGGGGGGCGAGGGGCTGCGAGCGGCGAGGGGGCGCGCGGCCGCTGGACGGGCGACCACGGCGAGGGCCGAGGCGGCCGCCAGCGGCCAGCGGGGCAACCCCGCAGCCAAGCCAGGGGGGCCGCCGCTAGCGGCAGCCAGGGCGGCGGCGAGCCGCGCGGCCGCCGCCTGGCGCTGAGCGCGGCGCCGCGCCGACCGCGACACGCCAGGGAAGGGGGACATGGCACCAGGGAAGGGGCGCCAGGAAGAGGAGGCCCCTCCCAGCGCCCTTCAGGCCGGCCGAAGTCAAGGGGGAGACTCTGGCCCCCAGGCCGCGCCCGCCAACCTCGAGCCAGAGCGCCTTGGGCCAGAGGCTACGGACACAACCCCCGTCACACACAACACACAACACACACAGCACACACACACACACACCACACACACCACACCACACACACACCACACACACACCACACACACAGACACACACACACACACACACACACACACTACACACACCCACATACATCAACACACAATACACGCGCAAACACATTTTTTAAGTCGGCGGCGCAGAGGGTCCTCAAGCGCGAGCAGCAGATGGAAGTGTTAATTGCGATCGAGCGTTGTCGAAGGCACAGCAACACACACGCACACACAACACACAACACACACAGCACACACACAAACACACACAAACATGTATACACACGCACACACACGCGCACACACACACACACTCACACACGCACACTCGCACACACGTGCACACAAACGCACTCACACAAGTACATGCACACGCGCGCGCACACGCACATACGCACATACGCACACACGCACACACGCACACACAGACACAGGCACAGGCACAGGCACAGGCACACGCACACGCACTCGCACACACACACACACACACCACACCACACCACACCACACCACACCACACCACACCACACCACACCACACCACAACACAACACAACACAACACAACACAGCACAACACAATACAACACAACACAACACAACACAACACAACACACAGACAGACACACACACACACACACGCACACAAACACACACCCATACCCATCGGGGGACCAGAGGGGGAAGGACTGGATATCTGCACTGGACCCTTGGCGTTTTATTTGTTTTTTCGTGGAGCTTTCGTTTGCCTGGATTTGGACTACTGTATAAGAAAGCGTTTGGAATGAAGTCCAATTTCTCAGCGTAAGCTTCCCTTAACTCTAAGCAGGGGTGTATGGGTATGGGTGCGGGTTGTCAGACCGCGTGGGGGGGGTCCCTTCGAGCGGGAACCCCATCCGACAACACGCACCCATAGCCCCCTCCTGTCCCCCCTATGGGTATGGGTGTGTGCTGTTCGTTCGTCCTGCCTGGGGCCATTCCCGCATGCAGCCAGAGAGGGCTCGGACCAGCTGGCCGTGACTTTCACCTTCCCAGTCGACCCGCAGACGCGCAAGACCGGCCTCCAGAGCGCCTGGCACGAGGACCGGGGGCGGCCAAGAGTCGAGGAAGAAGCACAACGGCACAGACACGCAGCTTGGTCTCCTCGTCTTCTTCCTCCCCCTCCTGGCGACGACGATCCAGGGCCGCCAGCTTTTGACTGGCGCTGGCAGCCGCCACCCCAGACGACGGTCACCGCAGCTCCTTCGTGCGATTGGTTGCTGTTCTCCCTTGTCCCTCTTCCCTGTCCGCGCTTGCTCGCTGCGTTGCCCAAGTCGCCCTCCTATCTCTCCTCGTCTTCTTCCCCCCCCCTCCTCCTCGAACGGGCGAAATCATGCCGCTCGTTTCCCATGTGCTCTTCGTGGCCTGCTGGCGCGAGGTGCCTTGCGCCCGAGGGGTGCTGAAGTACGTCGCGCAGCGAGGCCCTCAGTGGAGCCTTCTGGCAGGCGCGTGGCTGAGGAGCGTCCGTGCGGATTTCTTGGATCGGCGCTGGGCCACTCTCCTTCCTCGTCCTCCTCCTCGTCCTCCTCCTCTTCACTCTCCGCCCCTCTGCCCGAGTTCCGAGTCTGGGGCCATTGCTGGTTTTTCCCAACCCTCTGTGGTTGGGCATTCGTCTTGAATGGAGCACAATGGTCTCCACGTCCTCCTTCTCCTCTTCCCGCCTCCCTCCTCCTGCCTCCTCCTGCCCTTACCTAGTGCTTACTCCCAAACCTTTTTGGTTGGGTACTCGTTTTGAACAGAGCTCTGCTCGCGTCCTTCCTCCTCCTTCCCGCCTCCCTCATGCCTCCTCTTGCCTTTTGCGCATGTTTGTTTGGTTGTGTTTTTTCTTGTTTTCTCTCTCTCTCTCTCTCTCGCTCTTTTTCTGTCTCTTTCTCTCTCTCTCTCTCTCTCTCTCTCTGTCTCTACCTTTATCGCCTCTTGTCTTGTGCCTCTCTCGCACGTGCCTGAGACCTCGCCATCGCTGCGGGGTTGCGATTTGCAAAACTGTCACCACTTTCGAGGGCTGCTGGGGGGGGCCAGCACAGTGGGCACTTGCCGCAAACTCAAATTAGATCTCGCCATCCCTGGCGGGGCTGCGATATGTGAAACTGTCGCCAACTTCGAGGGTTGCAGGGGGCCAGCATAGTTGTTGCTTGTCGCAGGCTCAAATTGGACCTCGCCATCTTGGGGGGGCTGCGATCTGCGAAACTGTCGCCACTTCCGAGGGCTGCCAAAGGGAGGGGGCAGCATAGTGGGCAATTGCCGCAGACTCAACCTAGATCTCGCCATCTGTGGGGGGCTGCGATATGCACAATTGTCGCCACTTCCAAGGACTGCTGGGGTCTGGCCAGCCTGGTGGGCACTTACCGCAAACCCAAATTAGACCTCACCATCGCTGGGGGGGCTGCGATCTGCGAAACTGTCGCCGCTTCCGAGGGCTGTTGGGGGGGCCAGCATCGTTGGCAGTTGCCGCAGACTCAAATTAGACCTCGCCATTTCTGGGGCGCTGCGATCTGCGAAACTGTCGCCACTTTCGAGGGCTGCTGGGGGGCCAGCATACTGGATAGGTGCACGTCTACGTGATGTTTTCCAGGGCCACGAAGGTCCGGAATCTCCTGACGATTGAAGACCCGGGGCTGCTGTTCCTTGCTCGCGGGCCACCCGCGGACCTCGCGGCGCTCCTGCGCACATTTCCTTCCATTGCTGAGAAGTGTCGGGAAGAGCCACAGCAGCTGGCAGAGCTGCTCGGCCTCGCGCAGTTTTTTGTGCACTGACTTTGCCTGTTTGCTGGCGTGCCTCGAAACGTGGTCTTTCTCCTTCCTCCCTTCCTCTCGTCGTCATTTCTACACATCCAGCTGCCATGTCCTTTTGCTTGCCCCGCTGACGTTTCAAGCTCCCCGTTCGCCATCATAGATTATGCTTCGCCCCTCTGGATCTTTCCCCGACCCAAAGATCTAAAACATAATCTCTTTCAAGCCTTTGCCTTTTGATCGGTGTCTTCCGAGCCTCCCGAATGCCGTTTGAAAAATAGGCTCCCTTGTCACGCTATCACCCCTAATAAGTTCTACCAAGCTGCTCTTGTCGCGCGTTGCGCAGGCGTTGGGTACGTCGCCAGGGTGATTGCATTCGGCACTGCAGAGGTTCATCGCGCTTCATTCCCCTCAGCTTCCCTCTTCTTCATCCTCCTCCACTTTTTCCTCCTCCTCCTTAAGTTGGTTCCAGACCCAAGCCACAAAGAGCTTACATTGCTGCCTTGACCGCTCACTGGATGAAGGACGAGTTCGAGGTCACCGTCGCCAAACGGCTTACGGCATGGTTTGGTGCTGCTGCCGCGCCGCATGATCTGAAGACGCGGTGGGCGACCCTCAAAGCCTTCCTGGTGTCCGTGGGTCCCGCGTGGCGGTGGATCACACTGCGGACGCTAGCGGGCGGATGGCACACGAGCTCCCGCACGCACGTCACTACAGAGGTGGACCAATGTCGATTTCGATGCAGCTCCAGCCTCTGGTGCGCTTGCCGCGGACCTTCGCGCAGGCCACTGCTTTGGAGCGCTTGGGTCCTGGACGCCGCTATGAAGAGAACGGGGAACACTCGCTGTCGATGACTATCCAGCGCCTCGTCCTCGCGTACTACATGTACCTCGAGGTCAAGACCCATGGCGTGAATGGCTACTCCTACCAGCACCACCTCGGCGCCCGCCTGGCCGCCATCGACCTCCTGAACATCGCGAAGTAACCTCCTGAGGCCTAGGCTCCCCGCCGCCGCGGCCGCTGCCGCGTCGTCACTGGAGCCCGCGCTCAGGCCACTGGCGCCCTTCCTCCTACTCCTTCCATTGATGGGGATGAAGTTCGTCGCGCTGATGGGTGGGCAGTTCGGAATGGTTGGCATGCGATTATCTTTTGTTGCAGGCGCTTGGAGTCTGGGCGGCCTCCCGCCGGGGCTGGACTCTCTGTCAGGCGCCACAGCAGCGCCACGACCTTGCCTGGGTGTTCGAGCGCGCCTGGGCCTGTCGAGCTGGTGCCGCAGTTCTGCGTCGCGTGCCGCGCCGGCTTCGGCATCGAGGGCGGGCAGATCCTGGCGTCCGCCTACTTCGGGGTCGGCAAATGAGGGGACGTCAAGTCCTACAGGCCGTGCGACATTGCCCTGGCGCTGCGCGGCTGGATCAGGCCCTTCGCCGTGGCTGCCGACTGGAACTGCGATCCCGTGGCGCGCCTGAAACGCGACTTCCTGGACTGCACACCCGCCAAGGCTGTCGCGCAGCCCCGCGGGGGAAACATCGGCACCTGTCGCAGCGCGCAGGGTAATTCAGCAACATCGATTATTGGTTGGCCAGCCTCTCGATATCGGACGCCACGTCGGAGCCGCAGCCTGTGCCTGGTTGGCATGCGGCCTCCCGTTTAGCAATGGGGGCGCGGCTGGATGCCCGCGCTAAGATCACCAAGAAGCGCTTCATGCTCGCTGGGCCCATGAGTTCCCCCAGGCAGGCTTCCGACGACGACGCCGCCATTTGCGCCCTGCGCGACCGCGTCGGCATCGACCAGGCCGACGCGGAGGTCGGCGGCGACGCCTCCGCTTCCCAGGCGCAGCGCAGGCTGGGCGGCCTGCGCGGCGCGTTCGTCGACGCGGCGGAGGCCGAGCTCGTGGACTTCCACGGCGCGGCGGCCAGTCGCTCTAGGCATTGGCCACGCTGCCAAGGTCAGGTTCGAGAAGTTGCTTGCGATGGGCGCGGGGCAGAGCTATGTCTCGGCGGAGTGCCGCCGCGTAGTCGCCTTCCCGCGCCAGCTGTTTTCCATCGTGCGCGGCCTCCTCGACGCTAAACAGGCGGACCTTCAGCGGTGGAGGGGGGCTTCGGCACCGGCGTCTCCTACTGCGTCACAATAGGTTCCATCTTCGCAGGTCGCACGGGTTGCTAGTGCCCCTGGGCACCTCTGCGGTGGTGCTCGCGGCCCTGCACCAGCTAGGGATGGACGGGGTGATGTCGCAGTTGTTGGCGGAGCTTCGCGTGGGCGTCCTCGCTGTAGCACCATGGACTGCGGTCTGGACCCCATGATGGAGCTGTGGGGCGGCGACGGACGGCGACGGCATGGCCTGCGGTGACGCCTGCGCTGATGGGCCGATCGCCACAGCGGCGGGCGGCGAGCTGAACCCCATGCTGGAATTTAATAGCGGCGGCGGCGGCGCCCGCGCTAGCGGGGCGGGCTCATCTCTTTCGGTGCGGACTACGCCGGGTGAAGGTGATTGTGCGACGGTGGAGAGGTGGGGTGGTCGATGGGGCTGGCACGTGTAGTCGCTCGGTAAATCCCCCCTCGGCTGCGCCACTTCGTGCCGACTGCGGCCCCGTCCCGGCGCGGCAGCACCAGGGGCTTCCGCATTCGTGGCCCGCCGCCGCGCATGACCCTGCGCTCGCTGCCCGCGGCTGTCGTCTTGGCGCAGCAGTACCTGGGGCGGTTGCGGGGGGGCGGCAGCCCTGGCGTCTTCGGGCGGCAGCTGCAGGCCACTGCGGTCAAGGACCAGGGCCACGCGCGCAGGGCCGCCGTGTACCAGGGGATCTTGCTGGAGAGGCGCCTGCGTGCCTACGCGACGTTCTGGCTCTGGGGCTTTGCGGTGTTGGGCGAGGCTGGCGACCGCGACCACGGGGTGCGTTGGCGGTCGCTCGTGACCGAAACTGGCAGGGCGCGCGGCATTGACAACCTCGGAGTTGTCAGGCCGCACATGGCGCAGGATTATTGCGGGAGGGTTTGGGGCGCCAGGCGCAGCGTCCGAGCGCGCCGCCGCGCCAACATGCGCAGGCTGGCGCAGACAGACCAATGAGCAGGAGTGGCGCGAGCAGTCTGCGAGGCGCGCGGCGCCCATGGCCGCGGCGCACGGCGAATTTGACAGGACCTGGAGGGGCAGCCGCTGCCGCCATGTTTTCTGGCAGCGTTTGGGCCGCGGTGGGGGTCGACGCGAGTTACATCGGGTGAAAGTGATCTCGCGATAGTGACGAGGTGGGGTGGTCGAGGGGCTGTCGCGTGGAGTTGCTCGGTGAGCACCCCCATCGGGTGCGCCACTTCGTGCCGACCGCGGCCCCGTCCTGGCGCTGCAGAGGCAGGGGCCTCCGCGGTCGCGCCATGCTGCCGTGCTTGACCCTGCGCTCGCTGACTGCGTTTGTCGTCCAGGCGCAGCAGTATGTCGAAATGTTGCTCATCAGCTGGAGGTGGAGGCCATGCAAGCCCGGCGAAAGTCCTTCGCCGACCTGAGCCAAGACACGCGAGGAGGGCAGGATCCAGCCGTTGTTCTCAATCACCAGGCCCAGCGAGGTTCCCCACTCGCAGGTCCTTCGGCATGGCCGACGATCAGATGGATGAATGGGCTAAGATATGGAATGCTACGCGCGTCTCCACTATCCCGCCGGCGGCGCAGGTGGCAGGAGAAGGTGGCGGCG